CTTGAGAGAAGATGAAGCTGGCTAGAGGGGTAGCCTGGGCAATTAAAGCCCATGCCCACAGCTGAAATACTGGCTTATGGAACCTGTGACCACCCTATCTTCAAGGGGACATCATCTGGGGGAGACACTTCTTCAGGAGAGTTCAGTGTTGCTTTTTAAAGCATGCTGTTTTTTAATTCCATGGAGTCATGAAATTTAAAATCATGCTGAAGTCTCAACCTGGTTATAGTCTGTATTTCATTTATTTATTTTTCGGGGTCTGTGGATACGAACTTCACTCAGGAGAACTTTGGGGGTAAAACTTAAGCACCATAAATGAAAAACAGGTAGCTGCAGCATGAAATTCAGGATAAGCCATAGATTAAAAGGTGTAAAGGTTAAAAGTTGGTGAAGCTGAGAAGGAGGATTCCTAACTTTTTTGGTTTTTTTTGGAGGTATAATTTACATACCATGCAATTCACCCATTTAATGTGTGCAATTCAGAATTTTTAGTATATTTACAGAGTAGTGCAACCAACACTACATTCAATTATTAAACATTTTCTCCACCTCAAAAAGAAACCCTCTACCCATCAGAAGCCATCTCTCATTTTCCTCCATCTGTCCCCACTTCCGCTTCACCTCACCAAGGAGCTACTAACCTACTTTCTATCTCTTCTGGACATTTCACATAAATGGAATCATAGAGTATGTGGCCTCTGTGCCTGGCCATTTAGTATGATGTTTTCAAGGGTCATCCATACTGAGCATGAATCTTTCCTGTTTTCTTGAGTATATACCTAGGAGTAGAACTGCAAAGTCTTGTGGAAACTGCCTATTTAACTATTTGAGAAACCACCAGCCTGTCTTCCACGGCAGTGGCACCTTGTCACATTCCCACCAGCAATGTCTGGGGGATGGGGGTCCCGGTTTCTTCACACCTCTCCAGCCCTTGTGGTCTGTTGGATGGCAGTTGTCCTAGTGGCTGTGAAAGGCATCTCTGGGTATGGTTGTGACTTCCATGTCTCTCACGGCTGAGGCAGAGCATCTTTTCATGTGCTTATTGGCCATTTCTATATTGTCTTTGATAAAATGTCTATTCAGATCCTTTGCTCATTTTAAAACTGGGTTATTTGTCATTTTTTTCATTGAGTTGTCAGTGTCCTTTACATATTCTAACTACAAGTCCCTTCTCGTATATATGAACTTCACATTTTTTTTCCATTCTGTGGGACTTCATTGGTGCTATCCATTTTGTCTATTCTTTCTTTTGTTGTTGGCGGTTTTTGTTTGTTGTTTATTTGGAGACAGGATCTTACTCTGTCACTCAGGCTGGAGTGCAATGGCCCCATCTTGGCTCACTGAAACCTCTGCCCCTAGGCTCAAGCAATCCTCCCACCCCAGTATCCAGAGTAACTGAGATTACAGGTGCATGCCACCCTACCCCACAGCTAGCTAATTTTTGTATTTTTTTTTTTTTGAGTCACAGTCTGACATTATCACCCAGGCTGGAATGCAATGGCGAGATCTTGCCTCATTGCAACCTCCACTGCTAAGGTTCAAGCAATTCTCCTGCCTCAGCCTCCCAAGTAGCTAGAATTACAGGCGCTTGCCACCATGCCTGGCTAATTTTTAATATTTTTAGTAGAGATAGGGTTTCACTATGTTGGCCAGGCTGGTTTCGAACTCCTGACCTCATGATCTATGCACCTCAGCCTCCCAAAGGGCTAAGATTACAGGCATGAGCCAATGTGCCCAGCAATTTTTGTATTTTTTGTAGAGATGGGGGTCTCACTATGTTGTCCAGGCTGGTCTTCAACTCCTAGGCTCAAGCGATCTGCCCACCCCAGCCTCCCAAGGTGCTGGATGTATAGGTGTGAGCCACCACGCCCGGCCTGCTTGTGCTTTTGATATATAAGAAGGCTTTGCCTACCTCCAGGTCACAAAGATTTACCCCTATATTTTCTTCTAAGGGTTTTACAATTTTAGCCATTGTATTTAGATCTGTGCTTTGTTTTAATTTTCGTGTATGGTGTGAAGAACGGGTTTTTTAATACTTCTGAAGCTGCAAAAACTGAGTTTGGGGGCAGCACATGAAGAAAGTGAAGAATGTAGATTTATTGTTTTTCTCAGTTTGGACTACATTTTCCAAGAGGCCATCTTCAACTCCTGAGTTCTTTCCATCTTCCCTAAATATTTTTGGCTGTTCAGGATTAAAGTCGCTTGGCTTTCAGCAGATCTTGATTCATTGCTTCCATGGAATGCACAAGGAATTGTTTAGCCTGGTAACTCCTACATAACCATGATAAACTATTTGATTAGTTATATTTCACATGACGCAAAATATTCTGCCTTGAGTTGTGTTTTACGGGTGAGCAAGCTATTTTATATAACAGTGATTATGATGATACTGGGGGGAACCTAACTCAGTGTCATTGCTGTTTGTTCCCTGAGTCCCTATCTATTGAATTTGGAGCCAGTAAAGTAAGGAACATGCTGAGGCAAACTTCTAAGGAAAAATATCTTTGCCCTTGCAGGGGTATCTAGTTTTGATGCAGTTGAGGGACACAGACCCGGCACAAGATTGTGTTCATTACAGAGGGGCTTGTGAGGCCTCGACTGTAGGAAGTTTTAACTTTAGCTGGAGTTTGCCTCAAAGGCTTGTGGATGCCCTTGTTCTGAGACGTTTCTGGCGAGTATTTCAACATAGATTTCTCCGAATTCCCCTTTTGGTCAGTTATGTCAAAAGCTTGATTCCTCACTTATTTCAGCAAATGAACCATGAAAGTTGATCACTTCTATCCCCAGTTCTCACTGCACCTTCCTACCCAGGTCCAGTCCGCAGTCCAGGGTCACCCCTCCACCCATCTTTTCTGCAGCCCCAAAGTCTAATCCAGAGGAAGTATTCACTAAGTGTTTGTTGGTTACCTTTGTTCCACCATATTTACACAACTTTTCAGCAGCATAAATAGGACTCACTCTTGCCTCTCAGGGTAGAAATTCTAACAAAATAGTCCATGGAAAAGAAGGCAGCCTTTCTCCAGAAGCACAGCCCTGGAGGTGTGGAGGTGCCAAGGTTAGCACTTCTCCAAATGGTGGGTAAGAGGCAAGATGAGGTAGGGAGTTATCTCACCAGGGTTCGATTCCTGGTTTTGGTGTGGATCTTCCTGAAGGACATTGGGGTCCACACTGTGGAATCCTTTCTCATCTGAAGTCAGAAATCTATCACTTCGGTATTCCCTCTCAGACCCTACGCTCTGATCTCGTCTTCCTGTTACACCCGAGCCCGTGGCCTCACTCCCAACACACATGTTCTTTCACTTTCAGTCCCTTGAGTTTTCCTTTTCCCCTCAATCTCACTCCTCTCTGGGGCTTCCTTTATCCTCTACCCGACTTGCACCCCACACATGGCATTATCCCCTCTAGTCACCACCGCTCTGCTGCTCCCATCTACTGCTGTGAGCTCATTGCCCTCTAGTTTCTCCATCTCCTGAGACGTGCTTCACGCCACTGCCAGAAGAGTTGCCATGCATGCTCCTGGGTGAGGTGAAGCGGGGAGTAGGCTTGAAGTCCAGCTCTCATCCACTGATCATTTTAGGCTTGGCAGAGCTCTGTCTACCTAGAGGGAATACCTTCTGCTAATCGGCACAAAGACACTCTGTGGGCCCATACAGGAGCTGGCTACCAAATTGACCATCTCATTCCTCTGCATAATACCCTTCAGTGGGTCCTATTAGCCAAATGCCAAGCTCCTTAGCCTGGAATGCAAGCCAACCCTCTGAGACATGGCCTGCTTGTCCCACCAGCATTTTAATGAGCGTGATGATATGATTTATTGTCCAAACCAGAATACTTCTGACAGGAAGGAAGAGCAATTCACTACAGTGCCTGGGCACCTATTTGTAACCCAGCACCCCACACCTTGGATTCTTTCACTGTGGTTGGATGAAACCACTGGTAGTTCTCTATGTACACCTTGCTATTTCCAGATTAAGAGGTTTTGACAGAGTTATTTTGACAATCATGTTGTGAATCTGAGGATACTTTTATTCCTTTTTCTGATTAAACATTAAAGGATGAACATCCTCATCTCAAGGTCAAAATGCCAACAACACATCCTCAAGGTCATAATACCAAGTCCAAAATGATCACAGCCTAAACAATGATATCAGAACACCTAATTTACATTATTCTATGCTCTGGTTCCCTGATTGTAGAATTAATACTTTATCTCCTTAAAACTTCTATTCCCTCTTCCCCATTTTTCTGCCTTTTCTGGTTTATTTCCACTTATTGTTCAAGATATCACATGATCTTTTGCTTCCAATTATCTTTCCCTGATATTTCCTGGCTGGGTTCAGTGCCCATCATCTTGTTCCCACAGAAATCTGTACACCTTTTTTTTATTGTACCTAAAAAAAAAAGTGTGTTGAAGTCATCCGTCCAGGCCTACCTTGCTTAGGAGGCTATTAGGTCCTCAAGCCAGGAACCCCGTCTTACTGTTTTATCCTCAGTGCCAGCACGGTGCTTCACAAATAATAGAATCTCAATAAATACTTCTTTACATAGACTAATTTGAATTCCTTGTAACATGAAGCGAAACGTGCCTGCCCCTTATTTCCTGGGGGATTTCTTAGGGAGCTAGTGATGATTTACACCTACTTGGAGCCTTCAGGATGTTGACTTTGGGCATGTTGAAGTCGCAACGCCTATGGTTATTTTTTTATACCATAGAATCACATAAAAAGAAAATTCATATGCATAGTATTCACGTTTTGCCAAAAGTGTGAACAGTGGTGCGTCAAAGTTTCCCATGCCGTAAACAAAATTGTTCTGAGGGTATGGAAGAGTCATTCCTGTTAAATGCAATGAGGGATCATGCAAACCATTAAATAGTGTTCCGTTCTTGCCCGATTTTCTAAGCTCTCTGGGTTTGGGACTTTGAGTGAAGGTGATCAATGCCATCCTAATGTTACATGTTTGTTTCACAAGCCTAATGTCTTCTGTTTCCATTTCTCTAGAATGTTTTGGATGTTTAAAGAATGGTTCTGGTTGGAAAGATTCTGGCTTCCTCCGATGATAAAGTGGTCAGATCTTGAGGATCACGATGGACTCGTCTTTGTAAAACCTTCTCATTTATACATCACAATTCCATATGCTTTTCTCTTACTGATTATCAGACGTGTATTTGAAAAGTAAGTAGTACTTGGGTCTTTCCTTCCCATTCCCCCTCTTTGCTCTAACACTAGAATAATAGAGTTTTACGCTTACTAAGTCCCTTAAAGAATCTGTTGTTCAGAGGTTGCCACTAAGGGATGAATTAATATAATCAAATGCACTACAAATGTTATTTAAAGACTGAATGACAAAAAAATGAGAAACATGGATCCCATTGAGTGCTTTACTTTTGTAATGAAGAAAATGTTTTTATGAAGAAGATAGGAAGAGGTTGAGGATGGCAGAGCTTATTAGTGTCAATGCCAATCCAGGTGCCCAGCTCATCTTCCACTCTTCCGTGGTGACTCACAGTGCACAGGCACTCCTGGAAAGGCAGTGCTAGAAGAGTCTATGACTCAGGAGGCATTATCACTCTCAAATGCCTATAAAGTAACAAAAATGGCTCATTAAAGGCTAGACCAAATATTGCTATGTAGCACAGTTTATTTTAAAGATGTATTTAAAGGTTTAATGGGTGCCCTTTATCAAAGTGCGAGGAAATCAAAGGGAAAAACTATCAATTTGCTTTCTCAGAAAAAGTAAACTTCTTTTCTTTTCTTGATTTAATTTAAATGGATATTTTTTCCAGCCATTTTATTAAAATTGTACTAGCGTTATGATAACAGTAGATAAATGTTCATCTATAATCTCTGTAGTTGACTCTATTTCAAAAAGCTGTTATTAGCACTTAATTCATTTGGAGCAAAGAGAATATTCGAATGTCAAGAGTTGGAAAAACTTGAGACAAAAATCTGATAGAGATCATTTTGTCCAAGGCTAACTGTAATGCAGATCATATGTTTATAAACATTTGCAGGGTCCTTATCTCGAGAGCTAGTTTGACCAACTGTTTCATGAACTCGAAAAAATTTTTGTACAAATGACCACTTCGCTTGGGCCAACAGTGTGCTATTCCTATTGGGAGGAAGAGAAAGCCCCTGGATACCACTAAACCCAGCTGAGAACATTTGAAAATGTACTCCTTTTCCGACAGTTAATTCTACTTCTTACTCACATATTTGGATGTATCAGGAATGCATAAATAAAGTAGAATTTACCACTGCGCTTCAAAATTAGCAAGTTACTATCCTGAAATGCGAGCTGTTCTTGCACTGTATCTGGCGATCTTTGAATTTGGCATCCAGGTCCATTACTTATTTCCATTGCAGATTTCCTACTTTTTGGTGGACAGCTCCATTTTTCACAGTTTGGCCAGGACCATGAGCCAGAAAATTCTTTAGGTTGCCAAAGCAGCACAGCTGTGGAGGACCAGCTTGTTTCATCCTGATCTTGGCCTCTCCAATGACAATCAGGAAGGAATCCAACCCTCTTTTAATTCCTAGGACCATTGTTACTTTTTCGCAAGGGATCAAGTATAGTCTGTATTCTCTTTTCTGTCTCCTTATAACTTCAGCTCCGAATAACTCACTCTCAGCTTTTTCCATTGTGACGCTACAGAAAATGTGTAGCTTCACTAATCTTATATCTCTTTTAATGCCGCAGAGGGAAGGAAAATGTAACAGGGAGAGATACCATTCTTTTTGTGAAGTATAAGTTTATATTTTTTTTCCAGAGCTTCTGTATCATTAGTGGGAGATTGAACCACCTGTATTATAAATAAAATATCACTTATACCTTCCATTTGAATAGGAGTTTATAGTTTAAGAGCTACATAAAAATCACAAATGCTGTGGTCTCAGTCTGCAGGTATGGAAATGAGAGGTAAATGACTTGCCAAAGTCACACAGTTAACATGTAAGGCAATGGATCTGGGACTCGAACCCATGAACTAAGGCTTAATTTGTTGGCTTTTTATTTTCTGACTGCATCAGTACTTCTTAGACTTTCACAGTGAAAGACTCTTGATGGGCCGGGCACGGTGGCTCACGCCTGTAATCCCAGCACTTTGGGAGGCCGAGGCGGGTGGATCACGAGGTCAAGAGATTGAGACCATCCAGGTCAACATGGTGAAACCCCATCTCTACTAAAAAATACAAAAATTAGCTGGGCATGGTGGTGTGTGCCGTAATCCCAACTACTCGGGAGGCTGAGGCAGGAGAATTGCCTGAACCCAGGAGGCGGAGGTTGTGGTGAGCTGAGATCGCGCCATTGCACTCCAGCCTGGGTAACAAGAGTGAAAGAAAAATGAAAGAAAAAAAGACTCTTGATGGCAGAAGAGAATAAACAAATATCTCTCAGGAATACAGAAAGCAAGCTTAAAGAGACGATAGCAAACATAAAAATTTCTGAACTATTTAAAAAATTCATGTAAATATAACTCTAGGTTTCAGCATATCCTGAGGTATTTAACAGAGGAAAGCTTCCTTCTTTTGTCCTAGACTGTATTTATGCTACATCTTCTCATTCTGTGAAGTGACCAAGAGTTGTGATTTGGCTGGCTCATTATTGTCCTTTAGTACTAGACAAGAACATTTAAGATCAGAAATTAATGTTTCTTCTTAGAAAATCAAGAAGAGGGCTGGGCGTGGTGGCTCAAGCCTGTAATCCCAGCACTTTGGGAGGTCGAAGTGGGTGAATCACGAGGTCAAGAGATCGAGACCATCCTGGTCAACATGGTGAAACCCCGTCTCTACTAAACATACAAAAAATTAGCTGGGCATGGTGGCACGTGCCTGTAATCCCAGCTACTCAGGAGGCTGAGGCAGGAGAATTGCTTGAACCCAGGAGGCGGAGGTTGTGGTGAGCCGAGATTGTGCCGTTGCACTCTAGCCTGGGTAACAAGAGCGAAACTCCGTCTCAAAAAAAAAAAAAAAAGAAAATCAAGAAGAGAAGCAGACAATTGGAAAGTAACTTCCGTTTGCTAACGTTTGCTTTGTATTTAAGGTTTTCTTTCCTTGAAAGTTTTAGCTTGTGGATTATGTTTTTTTTTGTTTTCTTTGGTAGCTAATGTTTTGATTCTTTTTTTGTTCAGACTACCAGTTTCTAATTAGTTTATCTTCTGTACACTCTTGTGTGTGTCTGAAGTGTGATTTAAAGGAGACCTAAGCTACTCAAATATCAACACTCATGGAGTAAATGCATTATCTCAGAGTAAATCATGGTCCCAGAAGAGTCCAAGGCAGGGGTGGAGGTGGTAAAATCAGAAGTTCACCTTTTTATTGTTTCTGTTACTTGATTATACATGAATGGATTCTCCACATCTGCAACATAAGGTCATGATGGGACAGTATGTCCATCCTTCTTTAAAGGAGTGTAGGGTACCTGGAGTAACCTATCTATAGCAATTTGCATGAATTGAAGAAGTATTGTTACTAACTGTCCCAAATGGAAATAGTCTTTAAATATGAACATTAGACTTTTTATCCAAGATCTACTTTGCTCCTGATATTTTGTTCTCATGTTAAAAAAAAAAAAAAAAAAAAAAAACTCTCTGAAAAACTCTGCTCACAGAGCCTCTGAATCCGAAGGAACGGGAATCAATCTTATGCCAATAGACTATTGTATCTATTTAGGAGAAGTATTTAAAGGTAACATGCCTAATATCTGCCTAGGGAAAAACACTGAAAATAAAGGGAGCTCTGGGATGTCTAGGCTTTTGGCTCTCAGGTAACTGATGGGGTGCTAGACAAGGAGGGGGCTGTCTGGGTGTCTGAATGGAGTTGTCTGAAGGCTCAGTCCCGCAAAAGTTGCAAACCTAAGGGACTTATTCCCTCGTAATTAATCTAATTTTGAACCAAACGACTGATTTCATTAGAAACCTAAAGTTACAGCTTTAATTTTCTGGTGTCATTGTGGATTTGTTCTTAGATTTTGAACTTTGTTTCTTTTCATATTTTTGTAGTTTCGTTGCTTCACCTCTAGCAAAATCGTTTGGCATTAAAGAGACATTTCGAAAGGTTACACCAAATACTGTCTTAGAGAGTTTTTTCAAACATTCCACAAGGCGACCATTGCAAGTAAGTACAAATCCTTTGCTTTTGATTTAAAAATCTTCTTTCTTAATGGTTCAGTTATCTATAGCTTAACTTGTATGTGCAGGAAATCTGTTCAGTTGACCAGCAAATGAGTTGATTCGTTTGGATTTATTATTTCTTCTGTTGACAGGTTTAGAACACCACAAGTAAGATACACATGACAACATAAAAGAATAAATGTTAACAGTTGAACTATTGTATTTAACTATAGTGTTGAGCACTAAAGATTAGTGCCATAATTTGGGCATAAAGGTCAAAATTTAATTTTTTTTTTGAGACAAAACTCTCACCCTGTTGCCCAGGCTGCAGTGCAATTGGTCAGTGTCAGCTCATTGTAACCTCTGCCTCCTGGATTCAAGCAATTCTCCTGCCTCAGCCTCCTGAGTAACTGGGATTGCAGGTGGGTGAACCACACCCAGCTAATTGTTCGCATCTTTAGTAGAGACAGGGTTTCACCATGTTGGCCAGGCTGGTCTCAAACTCCTGACCTTGCGATTCACCCGCCTCAGCCTCCCAAAGTGCTGGGATAACATGGGATAACAGGCATGAGCCACTGTGCCTGGCCCAAAATTTAATTTTCAATGATAGAATATATACAAAGTATACAGATGAAAAAGGATAATCGTGAGGGCAGAGAAGCCCATATCTGATACCTTTGGTGATTGTGGTGTCATCAAAATACATTACGTGCATTTTGAAAATGTTCATCCGGGTCGCTTTCATGAGTAGGACTGTTATTTTATTCAAAGATTCAACATACTCAGAAATATGCTGTGTCCCTGACTACTCTCCAGGGAGAATTTCTAAGAGAATCACAGTTCTCTTCACAATATAAAATGTCCTTCGTTTATGTTGTTGTGCACTGCGTATTTAAATACATGCAGAAAAAGAAAAAAGAAAGAGTTTATAATAGTTAAAAAAAATAACGTCCAGGTAAGTCTAGTGTTCACTCCAGTTTTATTATACTTCCATAGTTAAAATGACAGATGAAACAAAACTTCTCCAAAAGTGGCGCAGCCTCTGTGATGATACAGACAGCTATTCCCAGTCATTTAAAAATCAAGTGCATATGCTAACACAGTTCTAAAATAGATTTCTGAGGGTCCTGAACTTTATTTGCTGAGTTAAGTTGCTTCTACTATGACAATTGCTCTAATTGCTCTCGCGGTTTCTCTGCATGTGAAAGCACAGTGGCGTACAGTGTCCAGAATTGCTCATAGCAGGTGAGAGCTGTCTCTACCTTGCTCTGCCCTCAGTTTCTCTATTTGACTGCTTTTGCAACCCAAGGATAGTCTGAAAAGGCATCTCTATATGGTTTTTATTCCCATGTGCTTTAAGTGACTGCAATCATTCATCTAAATCCTTTTGTTACCACTGGTGATAATAATGCCAAAGCATCCCTTTACTGATTTCAAAAGGGAAATTATTTAGCTATGTTTAGGAAAAATTAGGGCTCTTTCCGGAACCCTTATCATTCTTTTTGTTTGGGAACAACTAACTTTGGTAATACTTCATATAAAACTGGAAGAATAGTCTGTACTACCACTTAGTTGCTATACTTGCTGTTGCTAAGAGCTTCTAGCCAGCTTTTCAGGATACTTAAAATTATCTAGAAAATTTGGTCCTTACCAAGCTTCTCTGCTATGGAGAAAAGATAGCCATGTGACAGAGGAAAACTAAGAAAACAGAAAAGGTTCATAGAGTGATAGTCTTTCTTTTTCTTTTCTTTTCTTTTTTTTTTTTTTTTTTTTTTTTTGAGATCGAGTTTCGCTCTTGTTCCCCAGGCTGGAGTGCAATGGCGCGATCTCGGCTCACTGCAACCTCCGCTTCCTGGGTTCAGGCAATTCTCCTGCCTCGGCCTCCTGAGTAGCTGGGATTTCAGGCACGCGCCATTATGCTCAGTTAATTTTCTGTATTTTTAGTAGAGATGGGGTTTCACCATGTTGACCAGGATGGTCTCGATCTCTTGACCTCATGATCCACCCACCTCAGCCTCCCAAAGTGCTGGGATTACAGGCTTGAGCTACCGCGCCCAGCCTAGTCTTTCTTTTTCATGATTAAGATGAGGGAAGTTAAGGCCCAGCCAAAGGGGAATGGGGGTCATGCTGCTAATGAGTGGCTGAATCAAAAGCTGGAAACTGGCCCATACTTCCAGACCAGTAACCTTTCTACCATGCTCCAGTGAGTTCTTTGTCTATAAGTGAATGTTAAAATGTATTTTAAATATTGTGTTGGTAATATTTGTAAATAACACCTGACTTCCTTAAAATAATTGAGCACACAGACCCAAGGATGCTTCTTCAGCGGCCATAGATTGCACCGGTAAAACAAAACACTTCTGTGTATATGACATCAACTGTGGGCTGGTTAGTACAGAAGGGCATAACACGGTATTGATGAGGCCCCAAATACTATACACATGAGCCTCCATTGAGAGTTTTGGTCAGTGATGTTGTACAGTTCTCGTATTATTGTATCCATGCAGCTGCATGTCTGTTGCATGTGTATGTGCATATATCAAGAACAACTTCCAGATGGTTGGGGAAAGACCAACAGCTCTGACCAACAGATCAATTATAGTGCTATAGAGAACATGGAGTAACAGTGGAATTTATTATCTAGCCCTTTCCCTTAGCAAAATAAAAAATTACATATATATGAACTGATGCAGAACAAATAGTTTCTGGAAGAGATGTAAAGAAAACGTGGCGCTGTGAGACTGACCTCAAGCCAGTTACTATAGCCAATAAAGGCATTCCTGTGTGCTAGTTTGAGTCATGCGTAGGTTCAAACATTTTTAGATCAAAAACCTCTTCTAGTGCAGTTTATCGTTCAGGTGAGACACGTGAGAGCCAAAGAGGTAGGGTGGCTCCTCCACTGGCACAGAGGGTTCCCTTTTCGGTCCAGAGGCCAGGTATCTTGGCCCCATTCAGCACTCCTCCTGCAGGCCATTCAGCCTCTCCTTGTTGAGGCTGTGCCTGAGACGGGCTTTTCCTGCATGTTCCAACTCACTTCTGAATGTTCACAGCAATAGGAGTGTAGAGGCTAAAACACAAATTGTGAGGACAGATCCTGTGGGTTTAGAGCCTGGCTCTGTCACAGACTCTCTGTAAAGGGATGGACTTATTAAACTTCCCGTGCCTCAGTTTCCTCCTCTATGAATGGAATAGAATTATATTGCTTATCTCATAGGGCATGTGTGAGGATTACATTGAGTTAATACATATAAAATTCTTAGAATGGTGCCTGGCACATAGCAGATGCTCAGTAAAGGTCAGCTGTTACTATTTGTGCCATTAATTTTGTACCTATCATGCACTGACTTCCAAAGGAGCATGCTTAAGTATGTCTTCCGGACTCAAGGGAACTGTCACGTTCTTTCTTAATCATGCTTTCTTTTGTTCCCATGACACCTTGCACTATTTTCTGATCATTATAGACAGTCAATAAATGCTTAATGTTTCACATATTAATTAAAGAAAACACTTTTAGATATTTTGTTTGCAAGGAGCTTTTTCTCCCAATAATATCATAATGCATGGGGCCAGAATTGACAAGACTGACTTTCAGCTGGATTCTTCTGTATTCCAGAATAGAAAAAAAAAAAGCTTCGAATAATAAACAATTACTATCTTCTGTGTGTGGTGATTAATAATTTATTAGGCAATTATTTGTAGAACTCATGGGATAATAAAATTGGGTTGTTCTAAGATTTGAGAACATTCCAGAATGAAGACAAGGACTTCAGTTTGTTTTGCTCACTACTGAATCTCCCATGCCTAGAATGGTGCCTGGCACCAGTGCATAGAGACCCTTTAAATCGTTTCAAATGAATGAATGACTAAAACACTTGAGTAAAGCTAGGCCCAGAGTCCTTTCAGTCTGAGCACGCAGAGCAGGGTGTAACAGCAAGCCAGAGTATGTCCTGCTGTGCACCAAACAACAGAATCTGAATTATATTCTCCGTTTTGGGGGGTTTGTTCATGTTTGCAAATTATGTTAAAAACGAAGGAATACCTTTTTCTTAAGCAATTTTTAGTCCATGGTTTTCTTTCTGTGTTTGGACGTAAAAGTCTCTAGCACTGACACAGCATTCAATAGTTTCATTAGCTCATTCCGATCCCTTGGTCCCCACATTATTCCTCTAAGGTGGGTGGCAAACATTCTCTCGATATACCCTTTTACACGGGGGTCAGAGTGCAGTGCTTATGCCTACGTAGCTAAAAGGCAGCAGAACTGGATCTTCTGTTTTCAGCCTCCTGCCCTTCCTACCGTATCCGATTGCTTTGACACTGCGCTGTCCTTTCCTTCCTGCAAGGGATTGTATGAGATCATCTAGCAGAAGCTATCCGCTGGTCACATCTGGCCTGTGGGCCAGATGGCTTTATTTGGCTCTCAGGATATTCATCCACAATTGGTTTAAATTTACTTCGAAGCATTGGTCAACATTTTTTAAAGCCTAGCGATTTCCCATCAAAATCCTGAGTCTGCACGTTTTCTCTGGAAGCATCAGCCAGATCTTGGTTACACCTGGCCCTTCGGGACATAATATGTGTTTTTCCGTCTGCTGCATTCATACAGCTTCCACTTCTTTCCTCAGCACTGAAACTGAGGGTCAGTTTTATGCCATTTTATTTTTCATATAATAGAATTAAGAAGAAATGGAAATGTTTCCTTTATTTATTTCTTAAGACAAAGTCCTGCTCTGTTGCCCAGGCTGGAATGCAGTGGCATGATCTTGGCTCACTGCAACCTCTGCCCCTGAGGATCCAGTGATTCTCCTACCTCAGCCTTCCAAGTAGCTGGGGTCACAGGTGCCTGCCACCACATCTGGCTAATTTTTGTATTTTTATTAGAGACAGGGTTTCACCATGCTGGCCAGGTTGGTCTCAAACTCCTGACCTCAGGTGATCCACCTGCCTCGGCCTCCCGGAGTGCTGGAATTACAGGCATGAACCACCATGCCCGGCAGGAAATGTTTCTTATATTTATTTGGGAAATAAAAGATCAAGAGGGCTGGCATTTTTCATGAGCACATTTCTTTCTGGATGTGGAAAAGGTTACCATAGGTTTAAAGTACAAAACATGCCTATGTTAAAATCTCACTGTGAAACAGACCTGGCCCGCTAGGTCATGTATGTTTCTTTTCTGGCTTGGGTAGAACTTCGATTTGTAACCTTTGAGCTAAATCTTTCATTCACATTGTTTCCAATTTTAAATCATAGCCCACAATTTCTACTTCCCAAAAGAGAAGCAATCATCATCATCATCATCATCATATTTTGCAATTGTTATTTTTTGTTATTGAAATGATTTTGGATCAGTTTGAAATAGGCTTTCTATGTGATTAAATGTAAAAATGAATGGCTAACACCTGTCTGAGCTCTTCCTGCATTGTCTTCTGGAGCTCTCAGAAAGATCATGCAAAATGTCAGAAAATGCACTAGCCCAAGTTCTTATCCACACTTTGCTTCTAATTTTAGGTTTTGGACAAGTCACTAAAATTTGGGGGGTTTTAGTTCCCCATAGGAAAAATGAGATTGGATTTAATTTTAACTATACCACTCTACCTGGTGCCTAGGAAGTCCTAAGTACATTTTAGCTAAACAGGTGAGCTCATACACACAACCTGAATGCATGGATTGCTGCCAACTTACGGAGAATTGATCTTTCTCCGTAACTTAGAGATCTGGGATAGTAATTGTGTGTGTGTGTGTGTGTGTGTGTGTGTGTGATTCCATAAGCAAAAGAGGTAAATTCCCTGGATCCAGGTCTCATGGCAGAATTTCGCATCCCCAGTACTGAAGCTCTTGTAACTCAATCTCCCTGTCTCTCGTTTGCCTGCCTGTCTGACTCTGTTCTTTATCACTCATTTATTCATTTCATCCCTTTCCAGACTGATATTTATGGACTGGCAAAGAAGTGTAACTTGACAGAGCGCCAGGTGGAAAGATGGTTTAGGAGTCGGCGGAATCAAGAGAGGCCTTCCCGCCTGAAGAAATTCCAGGAAGCTTGGTAAGGAGGATGGGCCAAACTTGAGCAGTGCTGCCGTCCTGTCTGGAGCAGAGTGGTCCTTGCAGAGAGAATACCGCCAGGGCAGCAGAGGGAGGGTTCAGACCCAGCTCTGTCACCCACCCATGTGGTGTTTTAGGTGCCTCACATTTGCTTTCTCTGCTTCCTCCACTCCTTTGTTAATCGAGGAAGATCTGAACTCCGTTTATCGGGCAGCCTCCTGGACTAGAGTAGGTTCAGAGAGGCTCCATGCCATGAACTCTCTAAGATGAACAAGAGACCTTATATACTCAGCCTGAAGCCCAGAAAAGTCATAAAAACGTCGTAACTGGTGGTTCTCTTTTCTTAGGGTCAGCATTGGCCCTAAGAACTTTATTGCCTGTTGCCAACCATGGACTTTATCATGTTGCCAACCGGACCTTATCACCTGTTGCCAACCATGACAATTGTAAGAGCAGAGAATGTCTGCAAGGATGCGTGTTCCCTCTCGGAACGCTGAAAAGGCCTCTGTGTGGCGCAGCTCATGACCCCAGCCCTGCTGTGAGAGGTTCACAGCCCATCCATCCTCTTGGTTCCCCGGCAGGCTTGGTAAGAGGATTAGAATGAGCTAGGGCCTCCAGTGGGGTTTTTTCAGAGCTGGCTACTTTGAGTCCATTCTGAGGGCAAGGAGATTGCAGTGGATTTATTTTTAGTTTCATTTGAGTTCTACTTTTCTCCCCCCTCCTGTGGGATACTGTAGTACTTTAGGGCTCTCTCTTGTGGCAGAAACTGACACCTGTGCCAAATAATGGTGGGCCAGGTTATTGCTCTCACTTTGTTTCCAGACGAATGTGTATGAGTTGGGCTGTGTTCAGTGCCACATTCTACACACCAGCAGTGTTGCATCTTCCTGCCCGTTTCTTAGGGCCCTCCCTCACACTGTCCAGTGACTTCCACCAGACTTTTATGTTTTGAAGCCGAAATGAGTAAGGGAGCTGATGTGAGACCCTCAAATAAGCAAACAGAGGCTGCGGAAGGCTAAACTTTAACGACTTCCTTTGATTCATCTGTATGTTCCCTATCTTATACCCAGCTGTGAAACCGGGTGACGTTTAGAGAGAGAGACCCGTTCTTCAGGATGGCCCCAACACTCACTCACTCCTCACCACAGGCTTCCATTGCCTTTCTCACAGCGGCTTGAGGTGTAGGAGTTTGACCAGCATCTTCTGGTTTTTAGGTCTTGGAAGTTTGGTAAATATAATATTGATTTGCTGCTGATTTCAGCTTGGCACAAATATATCTCTTTAACCATCAGCACAAAACAGTACAAGATGGAGCTCATCTCACATTACATCCTCCTTTTTCTTGCTCTCATTCATTCATTTGTTCATTCTTGCTAACAGATGATTCTTAAAGTCCCCAAGCAGGGACTAATTCAACACCTCTGAGCTCAATCATATTTTAGTGAAATTTTCTGGCAATTTTTTATACATTACAGTGCTTTATGGGTTATAATTGTTCACTCCACCTGCCAATGATGTGAGATAGTCAGGGAAGGTGGGGTTACCCTGCTTCAATGAGAAATTGTACATCCTTCTAGTTTAAGGGTCTCTTAGGTGTTTGAATGGCTGTGGCAGTCAGATCTTCTGACTCCTATTCTGATACTGTTTCTTGTTCCATCACACTGCACTGGCACCTAATGCTTACCTCTCAGCAAGCAGAGGATCCCCAAATTGAGTAATATTTGGGCACCTGGCCATGTCAGTAAGCCTCCTGACATTTGTGACAGAGTTCAGGCTGGAGAAGGGAATTTCGAGTTACCTTTATCAGTCCGGCAGGTAATGCAGAGGTACAGGCTGGTATCTTCTCTGTGCAGAGCACTGTGTTAGATTTTGTGGAGTTCTAGAGTTTAAGAGGGAAGTAACGTGTGAGTCATGGCCACCAGCCTTAAACAGTCAATTAGGGAGGCCAGTTTTTCACACACAAAACCATAACATCTATTGTCACACCACCCGAGTGGCACACGTGAGCATATACCAACAGATACGACGTCATGTTTAGGTGTGTTGTGGGAATTGAGAGGCAATGGCATCAGCATGGCTGGAGAAGTTAAAGGCTTTCTAGAGAAGGGAAGACATAGGTTGGACCTTGAAGAATGGGTTGCATTTCCATAAGAAAAGAAAGCAGGGTTTGAGGCAGTATTTTCAAATAAGGCGAAGACACAAAGCAGGACACAGTAGGTGGGCCCATGAATCAAATTTAAGCTTTATTTGATTCTTTAGCAATGCCACATGTTTATTCTAAATTAAAAGTTACTGGCTAGATAAACAGACTAAACCTAATGCCATGTGCTGTTTAATTGTACAGGGACTCTGCTTTTTTAAAATCAGCTGTGGGATGTGCTACAGAAATCATACCATGAGATACCTAACTTCAGGCCTTTTGGAAATCTCTGGGAACTTCTTTCTTATACCAGCTCCTAAGATTACTTTCCAACAGGCAGAAATTCCTCTGTAACATCCGGGTGGACAAGCCCCCAGGCATCGTGAGCTCAGTGTGTTGCTTCCTGGGTGTTGCTTCCTTCATGGTGACCCTTGTACCCTATTCCACAGCCTTCAGGATTTTAATACATAAGGGTCCTTTTCAAAAAAATACCAAATTCCACATTTGCTGATCACTTTTTCATTTAAAAATACACATTTTAACTTAGCAATGAGAAGGGACTCCCAAGTCCATAGGTATCCAGGTAGGAGAACTCCTCGGTGTGGGAGAAAGGGCTCTCCCTGGCTGGGTGGATGCAGCCTCACCCTCCTCTGACCCATGCAGTCCATGCCTCGTTCCACGCAGCATCCCTACCACCAACCCCCGCCTGGTCCTGGCAGTGTTTCTCATGCTCTGCTCAATTTCTCCCTGATTGCCCTTCCAGTCCCTCCTTTCACTCTCACCATTGCTGCCTAACCAGTTCATTTCTGAACGATTTTCCAGTGCGTTTTCTCCCTTCCCATGATTATACTATCTAATTCTTTCCTGGAAAAAAAAAGTTTTATTATTTTAGGGTCATTTAATATGATTGAAATGACATTGACAACGACTTTATCATTCATCTTTTCAGTGAAGTGCAGCAATTCTCTGAATTTAGAATGTCAAGACCCCTTGTTCTCTTAAAAACTCTTGAAGATCCCAAAGAATATTGATGTGTGTTATACCTGCTGACAATTACTATATTAGAAGTTAAAACTGAGATATTTATAAAACGGGAGAATATATGAACGCACATTTCATCAGTGCAATTTTATTCAGCGCAATACCGTGATCGCATGTCACATGACCTCACTTGTGGGAAAATGAGAGGGAGAAAAGCAAATAAGTATTAGTATCATTATGAAGATATTCTGACCTCAGGGTTCCCTGGCACACACTTTGAGAACCCCTGGTATAGGCCTTCTCTGAGTAGGATTTGTCCAGAAACATGTGAGACTTGGCTGTATTCTTGCATCTGAGTATTACTGCCCAACCTTGGGTGAGTTTTGTGATCTCTCTTAGCTTCAATTTCCTTTAGGAAATTGGCTGTTAGCAACAGTCTGTAGCATCAGCTTCATAATCTTGTAAAAACAGAAATGTGATTTGTAAGTATTTTGGCATGTTTCTCAAAAAGGTAAGAGTGCTTTATTGTAAGCATGATTGCAATATCAGTATCTTTTTTATTTAATAAAATACGATTTTTTATTTAATAAAAGATTTTTACTTAATAGCAAATATTCAGTGTTTAGATTCCTGATTGTCTCACAATTTTCTTTACAGTTTGTTGATTTGAATCAGGATCTAAATAAGATCCATTTGTTGCAATTGGTAGACATGTCTTTTCATTCTCTTAGTCTATAGTTCTTTCCCCAAACATGAGGAAAATCTTTTCTTTCAAAACCTGCTTTTGGGACAGAAGACTAAACTCTGGCCACCTTTTAACTGGGAAATAAATGGAGATAAGAGAAATAATTAGACTAATTAAATTCCTTCTTGGTAATACTAATATCAACCCACTGTTTATTGTGTGCCTGGAACCGGGCTAGCCATTCTAATAATAATGGCTACCCTTTACTGTTGCTTACTTTATACTAGACCTATTATCACAGATTTTCAGTTCTTTTCACATTTGAGGTAGTATCGTTATTCTCATTTTTCAGATGAGAAAGTCAGGCTTCCTGAGGTTAAATGATTTACCTAAGGTTGTGGCCATCTATTAAGTGGGGCAGAGCCAGGATAGAAACTTAGATTTGTCTGACTCCAAAATGTGTGTTCTTTGTAAACTCTGCCACGCCTAATCATTTTCTCCTCAAATCCCTGTCACGTTTACAAGAAAATAAAGATTTTTCTTTCTTTTGGCAGCTGGAGATTTGCATTTTACTTAATCATTACTGTTGCTGGAATTGCATTTCTTTATGATGTAAGTTATCTTTTTATATCTTTGAATGGAATTTGTCTTTCATGTTTGAGATTCTTGTCTGTTAATTCCTTTAGGATATAATACTTTCAATAAGATAACCAGTTTTAGAGATTTTGCTCAAGATTCAAGACTTCTCTCAATTATTGCTACAGACATCTCAGGATTTTTTTATTCTTATAGAAGCAATACTATAATTAATACAGAAATAATTTTGCTCATATAGTCACTTGTTTGAAACAATTTCCTCTATGAGACAGCACTATTTACTTACCTTAGGTTCACTAGTAGTGAATTTCACAGAGGCGTTATATAGGAATATGTAAAACAAAATTCCCTAAAGAGGGAGAAATATGTGCAATAGAAGCAAAATAATATGGCAAAGGACGATTTCCTGTGCATTTTTGCCTGCTATAAATGACATAAGGAGGAGCTTAGGTTTTCTGCCAAAATTGGCCTTCGACACTGACAAATTTATTTCTCCAATGTTGACTTTTTTTTTTTCCAGAAACCTTGGTTATATGACCTAGGGGAGGTTTGGAATGGCTATCCCAAGCAGGTGAGTCCCCTCTGATGTTTCCTCCCCTTACTTCAACATTGAGGTCCCTCAAATTATCTCCTTAGTTAGGTCTTGGTCCCCTGCTACTTTGTCCACTACTGTGTCATCCCTGGCACTTATTCTACTTGAGCTTCCTCATCCTTATGGACCCTCATTTGTCTCATTTCTTTAGTTTATTTACAGTTAATGTAATTACATATTTGGGTTTAAAGCTACCATTTTATTATTTATTTTTTACTTGAACCACTTGATGCATTTTCTTTTATACTCCCTTCTTGCTTTCCTATGGACAGTCAAGTTATTTTTTTAAAATACTGTTGTTTTTCCTCCCTCATATTGACATTTCAGTTATGTATACTTTTGTTCTTCTAGTAATTATCTTATTACTGTGTATGTCCTTCACTTATTAGTCTGAATACAGATTGATGTTCTTACCTCTTTCCACTCATTGAAAGGTCTTTAGAATATACCATACATCCTCCTCCTTCAAATATTTAAAACCTTACAAGTCATTTCTATTATTGTTTTATGAATCTGTCAAGTTACCCTTTTTGTGCTATTCCTTGCTTCCTATATTTCCATGTTTCCATCTGGGATTATTATTCTTCTGGCTGAGGGAGTACCTTTGCTATTTTTTTAATGGTAGGTGTGCCAGATTTTGTTACTCAGAAAAATGTTATCATATTGCCTTTGATTTTTAAAGGATATTTTTGCTGGGTATAGAATTCTAGATTAGCAGTTATTTTCCTCACTTTTAATGATGTTATTTCATTGTCTTCTAGATCTCATCAGTTTTATAAGAATTCAGCTGTCACTTTTATTTTTGCTTCTTTGAATATAATGTCTTTTTTTCTTTTTGCCCAATTTTAATATTTTGTCTTATCTTTCAGTTTTATTATGATATACATAAATGTGCTTATCTTTGAATTTATCCTGCTTAATGTCTGTAGAACATCTTGAATCTGTGACTTGATGTCTTCAGTCATTTTGGGAAAGTTCTTATCCATTGGTTCTGTTCTATTCTCTTTCCAGACTCCTCTGAAATTCCAGTTACAAATTTGCTGCTATACTAGACCTTTACACTAGGCCCCTTACGTGTCTTATGCTTTTAAAAATATTTCCCATTCTCTTGCCTCTCTGTGCTTCAGTCTGTTGGGAGACAATTCTACACAGGTCTCTTGCATACCCTGTGAATTGGAGCACTGACTGCTTTTTGTTTTAGATGATCTTTTCAGGGATGTTTGTATAGCAAACAGCCATAGAAGATAGAGATAATGTCTCCCTGTGGAGCAAAGAGTAAGCAGGTTATTGTCCATTATAAAAGGTCAGGTTCTCTAGCTCAGGGTTCCTCTCTTATAACACAACCCACAATGTGATGTTGAAGTCTCCCACTTAGATAGATCAACGAGACAGAAAATTAATAAGGATATCCAGGACTTGAACTCAGATCCGGAACAAGTAAACTTAATAAACATTTATAGAACTCTCCACTTTAAATACACAAAATATACATTCTTGTCAGTACCACATCACACCTACTCATATGTTTAAATGAAATATTGATTGGCCATTATTAAGCACAATTATTGGCATAAAAGAGGTTTTCAATACCCATTTTTAGAATAAAGCAACATTCCCATTCTCTCTCCCTCTTTTTCTTCCTCTTTCTTCCTCTCCTTCACTCCTTTTTTTTTCTTTCTTTCCTTCTTTCCTTTCTTTAAAAAATAAATAAAAAGAAAAAAAAAATAACACAACCCACAATGTGTGCAGTTATCATCTGACCCTTAGCCCTATGAGGATGGGGAAAGGGAAGATTGGCCCAAATACTAGTACTCTGGTTACTGCTATTAATGTGAGTCACAAACTACCTGCTGTCTACCCGGGTTTCTACTATCTTCTACCAGCATTCATGGAACTTGTGGCAAACTCACTTGTTAGCTTGCAACTAGGGTAAAATGTCAGACACTTCATTGTTCTGGATATTTTCTACTTTCCTGTCCTCCAGTTCACTGGTGCTTTTCTTAAGCAGTATCTAATCTACTATTAAACACACCTTTTTAGTTCTTAATTTCAGTTATTATATTTGTCAGTTCTCAAATTTTTATTTTTTAATGGATCCCAGTTCTCTACTGCAGTTTTTTCCTTTGAGCTGTTTTTGAAATTATTTTAAAATCAGTCTGATAAGTCTCATCTCTTGATCACCTGTGGATCTGTTTTCTCTCTTGCTCCTGTCTCCTTATGCTTGATAGCTGTTAATGAAATGACAGACATTGTATATAAAAAAGTACAGATGGTCAGGATGATATTATCTTCCTTCACAGAGAACTTACTTTCACTTCTGTTAGGTGTTAGAATAGGGGCAGATCACCTTTAATTTTTTTTTTTTTGTTTTTTTTGAGATGAAGTTTTGCTCTTGTTACCCAGACTGGAGTGCAAAGGTGCGATCTCAGCTCACCTCAGCCTCCTCCTCCTGGGTTCAGGCAATTCTCCTGCCTCAGCCTCCTGAGTAGCTGGGACTACAGGCACGCGCCACCATGCCCAGCTAATTTTTTGTATTTTTAGTAGAGACGGGCTTTCACCATATTGACCAGGATGGTCTCGATCTCTTGACCTTGTGATCCACACCCCTCGGCCTCCCAAAGTGCTGGGATTACAGGCTTGAGCCACCATGCCCGGCCTACCTTTAATTATTGATTGAGCTGATTCAAGGTATCTTTGTAAGGCAAGTATATTTCCAACTTACTCATATTCTAGCGTATTCTTCTTCAGTGATAAAGATTACAGTGTTTACCATGACTCCTTATTCTTAGCTGAAACACCAATTTACTTCCTAGTACTCTGATATTACAGACACTGCTGCTTAACTTCTGCTGTTTCATAGTTACTTGGCTCCATACTGCTTACAAATTGGCATATACAGAGTTTATGATAGGTATAGGATGGTATTCTTTGAATTTATTCTTAGGGCCTACAGTACTTGTTGAAAAATAGGGTTCACTTGAAACAAAAGGTTCACGCTAATGTATTTTTCTTCTCTTCAGGATCTTGACTCCACAGGTTCTGGATGCCCTACTTGCTCTCTGATGCCTTCAATAGATATTCTTTCTTGTCTTTTATCTAGATTTTTAAGTTGTTCTTAAAAATCTGTCTCATTCTTTTATGGCCTTATCAAGGATGATGAGTTGACCCAAAAATTAGTTATTTTAATATGTTAGCCTCAGAATTAAAGAATTAAAGAAGATTAGACCATAAGGGACCTAGGAATTATCTAGGCCAAACCCCAGGCCTATCATCTTCCATCACCAACTTACTCATATCTTCTCAGGTGTATCAGTTATCTGTTGCAAACTCACAAACCATCTTCAAAACTTAGTGCCTTCAGATAACAAGCATTTATTTGCTCTTGATTTAGCTGTCAATTTAGGCTCAGCTAAGCAGTTTTTCTGCTCTGTATGGTGTCAACTGAGTTCATTCATGCGTTTTCAGACAATTGGGAGGCTGGCTAGGGAATAATGGCTCAAGTCCATGGTGACTTCATTCATAGTGTTGGCAGTCAGCACCTCGATTCTCTTTTTTGTGGCCCCTTCAGCAGGATGGCTCAGGATTCTTACACGGTACTTATAAAGTCTCTGCATGCATCACATTTTCTTATGTCTCCTTGACCAAAGACCAGGATCAAGTCCATAGTCAGTGTTGGAGGAGACTGTACAAGGGCTTGGATATCAGAAGGCAGCATTCATTGGGAGCATTAAGTGAGAGTCTAGCACACCACGTAATGTAATGTCTCAACTTAGCTAAAATAAATACCACCACCCCCACTATAAAATTATTAAGAACATTCTATCAAATTTTTATTCTTTTATTCAGAAGATATTTTTAGAATTCTTAAACAATTATACATATTTTACTACTGTTCTATTTGAGAATGGGCTAATTCTGATCACCAGCCTGTCACCAGAAAAGAGGTTAGGACATCGGATTTTGAGTAGTATTTAAGAAACATTAATCAAAGTAAATCATGGGACCAGCAGGAAAGAATTCCCATTGTTTCTAAGTAAAGATTTATCATTAAAAAAAATGTAAGCTTAACTCTAAATAAACTAAAGTAAGGCACTTACACCTGTGGTAGTTGTATTTCACTTTTGAAACAAAACATTTAACTTGGTTTTGGAATACTTGTCTACGCTTTTAGAAATGAAATGCCTTGAGATATCATCTTTAATTTCTTTGTGGAAATGTAAATTGAAATAAAAATCAGTGTTGTTTTATGGAATCCGGTGGGATATAACTAGGCATAAGTAGTAGGTTTTAGTGCATTAAAATGAGTTGCTTCTATGATGGCATTTAAAGTAGTGCCTTTAATTCCTTCTTTTCCTCAGCCCCTGCTGCCATCCCAGTACTGGTACTACATTCTAGAAATGAGTTTCTATTGGTCGCTGTTATTTAGACTTGGCTTTGATGTCAAAAGAAAGGTAAGTGTCTTATTTACAAAGCTTCTTTATTAATTTCTTCAAAAATTTCCATCTCCATGCCCCAGATTATAATCTTTAATTTAGGTTTTTCTGTGTATTTGGGTCCGGTTTATTGCTTTTGCGTGCTTTCTAGTACATAGAATAGTGCTAATTATACTCACGCTTTGGTGCTTTGGTAATACATCTCCTTTATGTGTCTGCTTTGGTTTGTGAATGTAATGCCCGCCAATGCAAAGAAGAAACATGTTAGTCATGTCAATTCTGCAGCCACGTCTTCTCGTTAGTGCAAAACCACCTTATATACAACTTTTTTATGTTTTCAAAGACACTGAAAACATTTTCCCCTTAATTCATCAAATATATTTATGAGCAAATAAAATAAAACAAAGTGCCCTTGCTTTGGGCACTATTAGCTTTGCTTTATTTTCAGGGAAACTCCGTCACAGGCATGAGGAAGGCCACTTCTGAGGTCACAAAGTGAGGTATCTCAGAAACTGTTTGCTTGTTACTGATTCCTGATTACTGATCCAGCAAACCATGTTACAGCCTGAATGCAATCATCAGATTTTGTCATACATGTAAGCAACTCAGATCAAATGATGAATGCTCTTGGCATAAATTCATAAATTACATCATAAGTAGGCTGGTTTGCAGCAAAATCTGTATGATAAATACAATGGCGGTTAATAATGTTGGATAAACCAGGTTAGCTTGATTAAATGTTTCAGCTGAGTGATGGCGGCCATTTCCCGTTACTAAGGGGACACACTACAGTTAATTGCACATCTTAAGACGTGAAGAATATAAATGTAAGAACATACTGTGAAAAACTCTGAGAGAAATAATCATCATTTCCATATAACTCAATAATAGCCAAAGATTAACTGTCCTAACTTTAGGCAAGGAATACATCAACATTTAATCAGTTGAGTCATTTTCTCAAGGGATAGAGTTGAAAATAATCATTTTTTAGAATGTCTTTATATACAGGTAGGTCGATCTTGTATTTCACCCACCTTTGATTTTGCTGTAGTTGACTTCCCTTTTATTATTTACAGGTGTATTGAACATCTTCTCAAAAATTAAATATAGATATATGTGATATGTCTTATAAAGATGGATTTTCAGAAACATAAAGCTACTGGGAGGTGACTAAAGCACAGGGCCCAGAGTTGGGTCTCCGGGGTTTGAATTCCTGGCCTCTCCACACACTAACATCTCCAGCTAGTTGGTTAAACTCTCTAAACTTGATTTCCTCATCTATAAAATGGAGTTAAAGATAGTTCCTATCTTCTCTGGTTGTTGTGTGGATTAAGCAGGTTAATCTATATAAAATACTTCCTGATATACAGCAGGTGCTCAATAAATTGAGCTATTATTGATATTGTATTTGCTTTGGTCATGAGAAAACCAAAATCTTTAAGTTTTTTTAAACATCTTTATTGAGATATCCAGATATAACACAATTAAACTGTTTAAAGTGTGCATTCGGTGGTTTTTAAAATATATTCAGAGTTGTGCAATCATCACCACAGTCAATTTTAGAATATTTGTATCATCCCAAGAAGAAATCCTATGCCCTTTAGCAGTCACTCCCCATTTCTCTCAGCCTCCTGGACCTTGGCAACCACAAATCTTCTTTGTCTCTATAAATGTCTCGATTCTGGCTATTTCATATAAATGGAATTATACAATATGCGGTCTTTTATGTTTGCCATGTTTCACTTAGTGTAATATTTTCCAGGTTCATCCATGTTATGGCATGTATCAGTACTGCATTACTTTTTATTGCTAAGTAATAGTCCATTGTACAGATGGATGAATTTTATTTATCCTCTTATCAGTTGATGGACATTTGGGTTGTTTTCTGCATTTGGCTGCAGTGAATAATGCTATGGATATTCATACACAAGTTTTTTGCATGAACGTATATTTTCATTCCACCTAAGAGTGGAATTGCTGGGCCAGATGGTAATTCTGCCTGATCTTTTGAAGAACTGTTTAACAAAGTTCTTCAAAACGGTTAACTGTTTGTCAGACTGTTTAACAAAGCAGCTACACCATTTTGCATTCCTACCAGCATTGTATTAGAGTTCCAGTTTCTCCACATCCTTGTCAACACTTGCTATTGTTCATCTTTTTTATTATAGCCATCCTAGTGGGTGTGAAGTGGTATCTCGTTGTGGTTTTGGTTTATATTCTCCTGATGGCTAATGACTGAACATGGTTTCATGTGTGAATTGGCCATTTGTATATTTTCTTTGCAGGAAACCTTTACGTTTTTATTACACTCAGTGACAGTAGCTTTCCTTAGCCTAGATTTTCTTATTTCATGGGCACTAACTTATATAATGGTTGCGAAGATTTATTATATCAATCTTCTATTCTTTTTTGGGAATAGGCAGGGGATAAACAATAACGTAGGTGTATACAGTAACAAGCTGTGTGTGTCTGCATTCGTTGTGTGTTGGGGGGCAGTGTGTGTGTATACAAATATCCAATGTCAGAATGGTATCTCAAAGTCAAATGACTTCATCAGCAAGAATAATACTTATCTTAGCTCCTTCACACGGACTGTGTTTAAGAATTAAAAGAATTTTATAAATTTCAAAACATGCAGCTATAAGTTGTTGGTTTCATCGTCATTGTTATCTCTTCCAGTGATTGGGAAATAAATGCATTTGCTTAATGGCTTCTATTTCCCTTCGTTCTATAGGATTTTCTAGCTCATATCATCCACCACCTGGCTGCTATTAGTCTGATGAGCTTCTCTTGGTGTGCTAATTATATTCGCAGCGGGACCCTTGTGATGATTGTACATGATGTGGCTGACATTTGGCTCGAGGTAAACATTTGACATTAAAAAACTAGTAACAATACCATGTCCTGGGTGTTCGTAACTGCCCACAGAGGTAATTGTGAGCGATTTAGCAGGAGTCTCTCTCCTGAAAACACCCAAAGTCTGAGAATACCTCTAGATTCCCAGATCCTCCAAGATTACAGAAATGAAACCTCCCAGTTTAAATTTTCAATCCTTCTCCCTGGTAGTAGAGAGATGTTCATTTGTGGGATTCCACTTCTGGAAGTTGCATGCACATGCTCACTCAGAAAGTAAGATGGGATATTTGCAGAAGGAATAAACTCTAATCTTTTAAAAGGAAAACTTGGATTTATGACATTGAGGATTCTCAGATTTGGATGACACCATCTATTCACTTAGGCCAATGCTTGAATACCCATTGAATGTTCATGCTACCCCACCCTCCCCTCCCCCAGCCCAGTCCCTTGCTTTAAGGAGTAGAAGCTGATTGTTTTTAAGGCCCTCATTTTCTAAGGGAGGAAGAGGGCTTAGGGTGTTTTCTGAAGGAGTCAACATTAAAACAAGAGTCTTCCTAATCTCACCCCACACAAAATAGAAGAAACAAAGGCCCCTTGGGATTGTTTTCCGGACCTGCTTCTGTTCTGCTTTGATCCCTGTGGACCCCAGGCAGTGATGGAGTGGTTTCCTTCTCTGCCAGTCTCCTGCAGTATTTACAGCAACAGTTCCCAGAACTGCTGAGCTATTTATTTAAATATACTCATTTATAATGAATCCAGGGGAAATGATGCTAAAGCACTTCACATTTGGGATTGCTTCTTGAAAGGCTAACCATTGAATATAGGTTGATATGGAAGAAATTAAATTTAATAGAACCTTATTCTTCTAGATTGGGGTTTAGCAAACTTCTTGGCAAAAGGCCAGATAGTAAATTAAGTTTTGTGAGTCACATATGATCTCTGTCACATATTCTTTCTTTGTTTTTTTGCTTTTTTAATACCCCCTTAAAAACATGAAAACCATTCTTAAGGGCTGATTAGCTTTAGCCCATGGGCTGGATTGTAAGTTACCAAACCCTGTCGTAGAAGTCACCAGAAGTCATTTGCAGCCATTTCAAAGCAACTGGCCACGTAAAATATCCCCTGTGTACAGGATTTTGTTTCTACCTTGTATGTAATCATAATTAGACATGTAAATTCCATTCTAAAGGTCAAGATTATTATATGTGCTTCAGGGTAACAAATGCTCCGCAGGAGAAGGACTGTGCCAGTTTTTCTGCACGGCGCTCTCTGGATGCAGCCCTGGCTGCTGTAATTACCTCCTTCTCTGATTGTATCTTGGTAACCCTGACAGAAAATTAAGACCACATTGGCCCTGTCTAAGGAATTTTATACTACTCCGTTGCTTCTAAGCTCTCATGTTCAATTGCCTTTGGTGTGCGTCCAATGTAAAACAGCCTCATTGTGTTATTAGCGGGGAGTTAGATGTTCAGCCTGGGAAGAAACACGGGGTTGCCCTGCCTACCCTCCCCACCCTTCCATTGATGTGACATGATTCCCCAGGTGACTTGGGCAAATCACTTATTGTTTTGTTTTCCAGCCCCAAGTGTAACATGAGAAGTCCTATCTGTCCCTTGGGGTGTGTGGTAGACTTTAGCTCATTATCATCTGAAAACGCTGAGGGCCTTAGGTAAAAAAAGAAGAAAATTGAACTGTCCAATTTTAGAGGTTCCCTCATGAGCAAACTGTAAGAACAGTTTCATGTTGCTGATGATTGTGAATCATTCTCGATTCACTGGTTGTGATCTGACGTGGAGTTCAATAAGCAAGGCTGGTACCGTCCATCAGCTGGCAGTAGACACAGTATTAGCAAGGCTGGTACCGTCCATCAGCCGGCAGTAGACACAGTATTAGCAAGGCTGGTACCGTCCATCGGCCGGCAGTAGACACAGTATTAGCAAGGCTGGTACCGTCCAGCGGCCGGCAGTAGACACAGTATTAGCAAGGCTGGTACCTTCCATGAGCCGGCAGTAGACACAGTATTAGCAAGGCTGGTACCGTCCATCAGCTGGCAGTAGACACAGTACTAGCAAGGCTGGTTCTGTCATCGCCTGGCAGTAGACACAGTATTAGCAAGGCTGGTACCTTCCATCGGCTGGCAGTAGACACGGTATTAGCAAGGCTGGTTCTGTCATCGCCTGGCAGTAGACACAGTATTAGCAAGGCTGGTACCTTCCATCGGCTGGCAGTAGACACAGTATTAGCAAGGCTGGTACCTTCCATCGGCTGGCAGTAGACACAGTATTAGCAAGGCTGGTTCTGTCATCGGCTGGCAGTAGACACAGTATTAGCAAGGCTGGTACCTTCCATGAGCCGGCAGTAGACACAGTATTAGCAAGGCTGGTACCTTCCATCAGCTGGCAGTAGACACAGTATTAGCAAGGCTGGTTCTGTCATCGGCCGGCAGTAGACACAGTATTAGCAAGGCTGGTTCTGTCATCGCCTGGCAGTAGACACAGTATTAGCAAGGCTGGTACCTTCCATCGGCCAGCAGTAGACACAGTATTAGCAAGGCTGGTTCTGTCATCGCCTGGCAGTAGACACAGTATTAGCAAGGCTGGTACCTTCCATCGGCTGGCAGTAGACACGGTATTAGCAAGGCTGGTTCTGTCATCGGCTGGCAGTAGACACAGTATTAGCAAGGCTGGTACCTTCCGTCGGCTGGCAGTAGACACAGTATTAGCAAGGCTGGTACCTTCCATCGGCTGGCAGTAGACACAGTATTAGCAAGGCTGGTACCTTCCATCGGCTGGCAGTAGACACAGTATTAGCAAGGCTGGTACCTTCCGTCGGCCGGCAGTAGACACAGTATTAGCAAGGCTGGTTCTGTCATCGCCTGGCAGTAGACACAGTATTAGCAAGGCTGGTACCTTCCATCGGCCGGCAGTAGGCACAGTATTAGCAAGGCTGGTTCTGTCATCGCCTGGCAGTAGACACAGTATTAGCAAGGCTGGTACCTTCCAGCGGCCAGCAGTAGACACAGTATTAGCAAGGCTGGTACCTTCCATCGGCCGGCAGTAGACACAGTATTAGCAAGGCTGGTACCTTCCATCGGCTGGCAGTAGACACAGTATTAGCAAGGCTGGTACCTTCCATCGGCCAGCGGTAGACACAGTATTAGCAAGGCTGGTTCTGTCATCGCCTGGCAGTAGACACAGTATTAGCAAGGCTGGTACCTTCCATCGGCTGGCAGTAGACACAGTATTAGCAAGGCTGGTACCTTCCGTCGGCTGGCAGTAGACACAGTATTAGCAAGGCTGGTTCTGTCATCGGCTGGCAGTAGACACAGTATTAGCAAGGCTGGTACCTTCCAGCGGCCGGCAGTAGACACAGTATTAGCAAGGCTGGTACCTTCCATCGGCCGGCAGTAGACACAGTATTAGCAAGGCTGGTACCTTCCATCGGCCGGCAGTAGACACAGTATTAGCAAGGCTGGTACCTTCCATCGGCCAGCGGTAGACACAGTATTAGCAAGGCTGGTTCTGTCATCGCCTGGCAGTAGACACAGTATTAGCAAGGCTGGTACCTTCCATCGGCTGGCAGTAGACACAGTATTAGCAAGGCTGGTACCTTCCGTCGGCTGGCAGTAGACACAGTATTAGCAAGGCTGGTACCGTCCATCGGCTGGCAGTAGACACAGTATTAGCAAGGCTGGTTCTGTCATCGGCTGGCAGTAGACACAGTATTAGCAAGGCTGGTACCTTCCATCGGCTGGCAGTAGACACAGTATTAGCAAGGCTGGTACCTTCCGTCGGCTGGCAGTAGACACAGTATTAGCAAGGCTGGTTCTGTCATCGCCTGGCAGTAGACACAGTATTAAGTGGTGGCAGGGGTCTGTTTGCGATTTCTCCCAGGGTGCACAGTCCGCAGCTTCCTTGAATAGTGTGTGTTTTAGGGTTTGTTTGCTCAGTCAAGTTCTAGTTGAACCCAGACGTGGCACAACTTTTGCCCCTTGCTTCCTTGAGATGGTGCCTATTTATCTTTCATATTTCTCAAGACACCGGGGTCATTTCCTCGCTGTTTTTTTTTTTTTTTTTTTTGAGGAAAAACAGCCTTCACATCTGCCATTCTCACTCGTAAGTGACCTTTTGCCTTCTTCATACATCTTCCTGATCCTCTAAGTTTCCACATGGTCAAGTTTGGATCCAAGACCCGATATCCTGACTGATACTTAGCAAACAAAGGGACTGCTGTCTCCTATTTCATTACACAATCCGGAGTATGTTCATTACACAATCCAAAAAATGCTACTTTGCCCTCACAAGTGGACTCACGGGGATCCTCTCCCATCCCTGTGTACATCCCTCGCGTCCCACCCCGGCTGGCCTCTCAGCCTTCCACCAGCTTCCTGCTCTGTCACGGTCACTCTAATTTGGGCCTTTCTCCCCACACCTGTCCCCCACCCACTGGGCACACCAGCCTTTCTGTGTCAGCAACTGATGCTGTTCCCGGGGGGTCCTCTACCAACCCCACAGTCAGGCCGTATTCTTACCCCTTCCTAAGTATGGCAAAGTATGAAAAATGCCACGCAAACCCTTGCTGGAGTGTAAATATGTTGCCTCTCCTGCTCTGGAAGGGCCTTGAGCTTCTGGTGTGAAGTTGGTTCGGAAACTGCCCAAGTCTAAGCCATGTTCCCTAGGAGAATGATCTGTGCCCCAGCAGCTCCTCCCACCTCCTGCTCCTGGACTCCCACTTCCTGCTCCCACCACAGACTTCCCTCTTCAGCCCTGGGCTCTGCTGGATGATGCAGTAGAGCGTGCATATCAATTAACAGTCTTCAGCCCTCTCTGCAGCGCCTTCTATTCAGCACAGGTAATACGAGCAGTGTAGACTAGCATAAAAGAATCGGGAAAGATCAAATGCTTGAAGCTTTCTTTCAACCAGTTCAGGTCCCTGAGAGCTGCCTCCCGACTTTGCCTCTTCCATTATCTCCCTTGAAGTAACCTCCTTGATTGCAGCATTCTCAGAGCAGCTCAGGATTTCCCACCTGTCCCAGCCCTTCTTCGGTCCAGCTCCCATCCCAGTTAAATGGAGATACCAAGTAAATGCCCACATGAAATGCATGCTAAAGTTGATTGTGTTAACTTAAAGTGTTTTTGAGAGGCGCAAGTAGGTAGTATGGTCATTTTAACATATTTTTAAGAAACATATGTTATGGAAAATGTCAAACATATGACAAGATAAAGGGACTTGTCTAATGGACCCAGCAGTGTTAGTGGTTATCAATATGTACAGTCTCATTTAATCTGTCACCCCACTTGTAACCCTACCTTCCACCAGATTGGTTTGAAGCATATCCCAGACCTCATACCATTTCATTTATAAATTTACATTTAAAAATGTATGCTACTGTTCCTTTAACTGCAGATTCTTTCTTTGCTCACAGTCTGCTAAGATGTTTTCTTATGCTGGATGGACGCAGACCTGTAACGCCCTGTTTTTCATCTTCTCTGCCATATTTTTCATCAGCCGCTTCATTGTTTTTCCCTTCTGGTGAGTAGACGGGGGGTGCACCCTGCCTTTGGTCAGTGTGCAGAGGTGGCCTTGGCACATGGTCACCATCAGGGCGTTGGCCTTTCCATACATGGGGCTCCAGTTATTTGTGCCAAGTACAGTTGGGGAAAAGAATGTGATGGAGCCATTTTTATAAGTAATTAAAACAGCACCCTATGGTGTGAAAAATGGTTGTTACAACAGGAGGTGGAAATGTGTGACTTGACGGGCAGGCAGCAGCTCTTAATCTGTCTTGTTTCTTGAATGTGAGCCTTTCTTTGTGGTTAACAGCTTTTCCAGTCACTCAATGAAAAGTCACTGTCCAATCACCAGTTCTCTAATAGAGGCATGTTCTGTGTGACAATAATTACAGTCAGTACTTGAATGTCAGACACTGGGTTAGGCCCTTTCCATATCTTGGCTCTGGTCTACATAATAAATCATAAAGATGGGTATTATCACTTCCACATCCCAGATAAGGAAAGTGATATTTATTTCATTCTCCATGACCACTAGTTCTAATAATGGTTTGAGTATCCTTTTGATATGATTGGCTCTCCATCAGTCTGTTGATTTTGTTTAGCCTCAGAGTAGCAATGAAGAGAATAGATTGTGTCTCCCGTGACAGTCATTTCCTTGGGAACCATAATTGTCCATGTGTTGATCGCCAGACACCAGACTAAACATGCAGGAAAGACGTAGACAGTTTGGGAGGAACAGCTTTTAACCGACCATAATTTGGGGCTAGTCTGGGAGCTTGGGATCCTCTAAACAGAAGACTTAGTGCTATTGAAGAGCCTAGATCCAGGGGAAATGGATGGAGATTCACTCAAGTTCCAGGCCTCATTCCTAAGTGTATAGACAGCACGCTTGGGTAGCATCCAGGGAAATGCAACCAAAGAGGTCAATGCCCTTCTCATGGGAGTCAGCTGCATTCTTTGGACCCTTCATATTAGGCATTTTCTGGAAGGGAGCAACAGAGTAGTGTGGTTAAGTTGCTAGATACAAGAGTCATCCTGCATTTAAATCCTGGCTCCACACTTACAAACTTTGTGACCTTGAACAGGCTAGACCACCTCTCTGTGCCTCAGTTTTCTCATTTGTAAAATGGAAATAAGGGGGCCTGGCGCGGTGGCTCACGCTTGTGATCCCAGCACTTTGGGAGGTCGAGGTGGGTGGATCACGAGGTCAAGAGATTGAGACCATCCTGGTTAACATGGTGAAACCCCGTCTCTACTAAAAATACAAAAAAAAAAAAATTAGCTGGGCATGGTAGTGTGTGCCTGTAGTCCCAGCTACTCAGGAGGCTGAGACAGGAGAATTGCCTGAACCCAGGAGGCGGAGGTTGCGGTGAGCTGAGATTGCGCCATTGCACTGTAGCCTGGGTAACAAGAGCGAAACTTAGTCTCAAAAAAAAAAAAAAAAAAAATGGAAATAAGGGTTGTCATGAGGCTTAACTATTTTATGTACTTTAAAACAATGTCTGGTACTCAGTAAAGAATCAGTAAATGCTCTCTATTATAATTAAACGTATTAATGAGTATCTCAGAATTTGAAGTTGAACTAGAATCAAATCCAAGATGTATGTCTCAGATACTTTCCTTGGTTAATAAATCATCACCATCACTTACACTTTGAGCAAGTGTGTTTGTGAAATTTTAATAATGGCTGGGGGTGTGGTGCTGCACGCCTATGGTCCCAGCCACTCAGGAGCCTGAAGTGAGGGGATCGCTTAAGCCCAGGAGGTTGAGATCAGCCTGGGCAACATAGTGAGACCATATCTTTATATATATAATTATTGATAACCCTGTCAATAACTGCTATCATACTATATATAATTCTAATACTAATAATACATAGTATATATAGTATGATAGTAGTTATTGATAGAATAATGTTGACTTGCAGGTGACAGTGGGGCATGGCTTTTCAGTATGACTTTCATGACACTATCAACCCAGCATTTGCCCCTAGTTCTTTTCCTTGTGTCCCAAAGGCACTACACATTCCAGTCACCTGTTGCTATATGACAAAGCATCTGAAAACCTAGTGGCTTAGGACAGCAGTGGGTAAACATCTTCTGTGAAAGGCCAGAGAATATATATATTTTAGGCTTTGAGGGCCCCATATGGTCTTTTTTGCATATTTTTCTTCATTTTGTTTTGTTTTATAATCCTTTAAAAATGTACCAAGCCATAATTACTTAGCTCATGGGCTGTACGAAAGCATACAGCCATATTGCAGGCCAGATTTTACCCAGAGGCCATAGTTTGGAGACCTCTGTTTTAAGACAACAACCTTCATTGTTTATTATTATTATTTCTCATAGCTCTAGGAGTTGATTGGCCTTGGCTAGATGATTTTCACTTAGGGTCTCTTGTGTGGTCACAGTTATATGGTGGCTGGGCAGTCACGTAGTGTCTAGAGTCCTCAGCACGTGCTTAAAGTCATATATAGAAAATCAGGCTGGGTGCAGTGGCTTACACCTGCAATGCCAGTACTTGAGGAAGCCAAAGTAGGCAGATCGCCTGAGGTCAGGAGTTCTAGAACAGCCTGGAGAACATGGCGAAACCCTGTCTCTACTGAAAATGCAAAACAATGTAGCTGGGTGTAGTGGCATATGCCTATAATCCCAGCTACTTGGGAGACTGAGGCAGGAGAATTGCTTGAACCTGGGAGATGAAGGTTGCAGTGAGCTGAGATTGTACCACTGCACTCCAGCCTGGGCGCCTTCAAAAGAAGAAAGGAAGGTGGGGGGAAGAGAGGAAGGGAGGAAGAGAAGAAGAGAGGAAGGGAGGAAGGAAGGAGAAAAGAAAGAGAAAATCAGCTGGCTGATGCTGCTTGTTGGCTGGAACACCCACGGCCCCTCTACCTGGCCTTGACCTTTTCATCTCATGGCACCTGCATTTCAAGGGTGAGCATCTTAAGAGAGTGCTAAAGAGATGCTGCATCTTTTCTCATAGCAGCCTCAGTAGTCACATCATGTCATTTCTAACCTTATATTTTTCATTGGAACCAGGTCACTAAATCTGACTTGCATGCAAGGGAAGGAAGACTAGACTCCATTTCTTGATAGGAGCAGTTTCAGTGAATTTGCAGAACTATTTTAAAAGCACACAGCATGGAAGCTCTTTGTTCCAGTAACTCTCTGAGAAGCTTCTGCAACATTGCTGCCATGGTTGGCTTTTGATTTAGCAATGGAGAATATTCACCTCAGAATATCCCATGATGTCTCAAAATAAACAAGTTTACTCACAAACAATTGAACAACAGGTGGTGCTGAGTGCTTATCAGGAGAGTGTGCTATTTTCCCCACATACCTTTGTCTTTGAAAACCCTGCATTTAAGAACTCATTCTCCTGCCAGCATTTCTGGATTTTAAGGAGATTCTGTTACATGCATTTGGCATTTTCTTGATCTTGATACTGAATTCACTTGTCCATTGTAGAGGGCAGCCAGTACTCCTATTTGCTGTCTTCAAGGAGTTGGGTTGCAAATAAATCAATATAAACAAACTTGACGGTAAAACAGGCTGGGTGTGGTGGCTCATGCCTGTAATCCCAGCACGCTTTGGGAGGCTGAGGCAGGCGAATCACCTGAGGCCAGGAGTTCGAGACCAGCCTGGTCAACACCGTAAAACCCCATCTCTACCAAAAATGCAAAAATTAGCCCGGTGTGGTGGCAGGTACCTGTAATCCTAGCTACTCAGGAGGCTGAGACATGAGAATTGCTTGAACCCAGGAGGTGGAGGTTGCAGTGAGCCAGGATTGCACCATTGCACTCCAGCCTGGGTGACAAGAGTGAAACTCCATCTCAAAAAAAAAGAAAAGGTTATAAAAACAGAACAACAACAAAACTTTCTGATAAAATATGTCTGTACTGATGTTGACTGATTCTCATTGTCTGGAAAGTTGAGAAAAACCCCACCAAGCTGTTGGAAGTTTGGCAGATCATTTCTCACTGGTCTCTGAAGAAAGCATGTCCGTCAGAGAGGGATCTTCTTTCTGCTGCAGAGTCCTGCTCTAGTTTAAATGGTCTTCCCACCAGCATGAACCTGTTGGCGCCATCATCTTTGTGGAGCCAAAGGGGAAAATTTGGTTCCTTGTTGTTAGCTTGGCTCCAATCCTCTGTCTAAAACTTACAACTCTATGGATTCATTTTTCAGGGGTGATTTATTCTTTCCAAATGTATTGGGATTTTACTATGGACCAAGCAATGTGCAGATCATAGGTATCACCGGAAGGTGGTGCAGCTAACCTATTTCAAGACCAAGACATTTTAGAGGCAGCCTGGGAAGCAGTTTGCAATCTAGTTGCTTTGTTCTTTCCAGCTGCTTCGGTTGCACATCTTTGGGAGAAAGCTAATGGGTTGTGCTCATCTGAGATTTGTCTAGAAGCCTTGAGAAAAGTAACTGGAGTTAGTACATTTCCCTTTCCCTGTCTTTGCCCTTTCTCTCCTTTTCCCCAGCCTCGGTCGCATTTGCATATTCTCTTGGTGAGCCTCCCTTTCGCGTCCAGCCACGAGGCTCCTCTTCTGTTTCTGGGGATCTTACCTCGTTCTCGGTCAGCTTCTGCAACAGCTAGTTACATTGGTTTTCTAAGCGTTGTTTCATTAACATTAGGCAGAAATTCAAAAGAGCACTGGCCAAATTGTTTTAATTGCCTGGTAACCCCATTTGTTTGCATTTTAATTCAAATATTTATTTAAATTATTAAATTGCAGGCATATGTTTTTCACACTGTATTCCCAACTATTGTTTTCGAAAAATGATTTCTCTAGTTTGGAATTATTGGATGTATCTACCTTCTTTTTTTTTTTGAGACAGAGTTTCGCTCTTGTTACCCAGGCTGGAGTGCAATGGCACAATCTCGGCTCACCACAACCTCCGCCTCCTGGGTTCAGGCAATTCTCCTGCCTCAGCCTCCCAAGTACCTGGGATTACAGGCACGCGCCACCATGCCCAGCTAATTTTTTGTATTTTTAGTAGAGTCGGGATTTCA